AAAAAAAAAAAAAAAAAAAAAAAAAAATTTACACAAACCCTAAACCCTAAACCCTAAACCCTAAACCCTAAACCCTAAACCCTAATTTTTTTTAATTTTTTAGTTTTTTAGTTTTTAGGTTTTATTTTATTGTACTAAAGTCTAAACACTAAATTTTTAATTTTTTTATTGGAAAACCCTAAACCCTAAACCCTAAACCCTAGAATCAACAGTGTTATTCTTGCCCTTATAATACGTTGGATTGCAGCAGATAAGGGATATATGTGTAGGCTATACTAAAGGGTTTAGGGTTTAGGGTTTATGTTTGTTAGGTATTAGGGTTTGCGGCTAATTGTTAGGGTAAATAATTAGTGTTTAGGGTTTAGGGTTTATAATTAGGGTTTAGGGTTTAGGGTTTACATTCCGCGTTGCATAATATCAAGAAGATATTCATCTAAAGTTAAACCCTTTAGCCAAGGCCGAGTCTCTGCACCTGCGTATACACCCCAACACACAACCCTACCTGCTGCTGCTGCTGCTGCTGCTGAGGAGTAGCTGTAGGGTTTGTAAATTAGGGTTTAGGGTTTAGGGTTTACCGTTGGATTCTCCTGTAGATGTTATAATCATCTCCTCTGCAGGTTCTGTTAAATCCTGCAGCAATAAACGAAGTTCTTGCTGCTGCTGCACCTGCTTCCTTTGCTGCTTCTGCTGCTTCTTCTTCTGCTGCTGCTGCTGCTTCTGCTGCTTTTCCAGGTTCTGCTGATGCTCCTGCTGCTGCTGCTCGAGCTGTTGTTGCTGTAATTGTTGTTGCTGCTGCTGGTGCAATCGATACTGCTCCATCTGCTGCTGCTGCAGTCGCTGCTGCTGCTGCTGCTGCTGCTGCTGTTGCTGCAAGCGATGCTGCTCTAGCTGCTCCTGCTGCAATCGATGCTGCTCTAGCTGCTCCTGCTGCAATCGATGCTGCTCTAGCTGCTGCTGCTGCAATCGATGCTGCTCTAGCTGCTGCTGCTGTAGTCGATGCTGCTCAAGCTGCTGCTGCTGTAGTCGGTGCTGCTCTAGCTGCTGCTGCTGCAGTCGGTGCTGCTCAAGCTGCTGCTGCTTTACCCGATGCTGCTCTAGCTGCTGCTGCTGCTGCTGCAGGAGGTGTTGCTCTCGCTGCTGCTGCTGCTGTAGTCGATACTGCTCTAGCTGCTGCTGCTGCTGTTCATGCTGCTGCTGTGCATGCTGCTCCTGTGCATGCAGCTGCTGCTGCCTCTGTAGCTGTAGCTGCTGCTGCATCTGCTGCTGCATCTGCTGCTGCTGCAGCATTTGCTGCTGTTGCAGTTGCTGCTGCTGTCGTTGATGCTCCAGTTGTTGCTGCTGCGGCTGCTGCGGCTGCAGCAGTCCTTCCTTGTGACTTTGCTGCAGCATATGTTGCTGCTGCTGCTGTTCTTGCTGCAGCAGCTGCTGTTGTTGTTGCTGAAGCTGCTGTTGCTGCATCTGCGAGTGCAGCAGCAGCTGCTGCCGTTGCTGTTGCTCAATGAGTTGCTGCTGCTGCAGGTGCTCTTGTTGCAGCAGCAGCTGCTGCTGCTGCACTTGCTGCTGGTGGACGTGCCCTTGCTGCAGTTCAAGTACTTGCGGCTCCTGCTGCGGCTGCTGCTGTTGCGGCTGCTGCTGCTGCTGCTGCTGCTGAAGTTCATTTGCTGCAGCAGCAGGTACACAAGAACTAAGTTCTTGTGACAGAGAAGTCTCCAGCATAGGGGAGTGACTGCCGCTGCTGCTGCCGCTGCTGCTGTCGCTGCTGCTGCTGCTGCTGCTGCGCCTTGGGGCCTCTGTAGATGCGCTAAGCGCCTCATCAGAGAGTTGCTGCTGCAACGGCTGCTGCTGCTGCTGCTCCATTTGCTGCTGCGCTTTACTGGTGTTTATTAGTTCTTGTTGAGCTGCAGCTGCTGCTTGCGTTTCAGCAGCAGCAGCAGCAGCAGAAGCAGCAGCAGCAACGTCGCATTCAGGGTTGATGGTAGACAGGCAGCTGCGGTCTATGTGCTGCTGCTGCTGCTCTTGCTGCTGCTGTAGCTGTTGCTGTTGTATTTGCTGCTGCTGCTGCAGTGCTAGCTGCAGCTGCATCTTGCGCTGCTGCAGCATATATATCTCTCTTTCGTGCTGCTGTCCCCTTGCAGCAGCAGCAGCAGCAAAGGAGATAGGGGAAGAAGACTCATCTGCCTCTGGGTTACCAGCCTCTACAGCAGCAGCAGGTGCTGCTGCTGCTGCTGCTGCAGATGCAGCAGCAGAAACGAGCTCAAAGGAGACAGAGGCAGCCATAGTGCTGCGGCAGGGAAGCTGCTGCTGCTGCACTGCAGCAGCAGCAGATCTGCGTATATAAAACCTCGAGGAGCTGTTGCTGCGCATAAGGGTAGCCGTGCTGCTGCTGCTGAGGCTGCTGCTGCTGCTGCTGCTACTGCTTCGTTGGGCAACAACAGGAGACAAGCTGCCTCGAAGAACCCCTAAGATGCTGCTGCTGCTGCTGCTGCTGCTGCAAGGAGATACATCACATTCATCACTGTAAAGACGCATGTGCTGCTGCTGCTGCTGCTGCTGCTGCTGCTGCTGGCTGCTGAGGGTGGGGATATCCTCCTCTTCTGCAGCGCTGCTGCTGCACTCCTCCTCCGATTCTGCTGCTGATGCTGGTGCTGTATCTGCATCTGCTGCTGCTGCATCTGCATCTGCTGCTGCTGCTGCTGCTAACGGTCTGGTTGCCCATAGATTCGCTGCTTCCCCCATATCTTGAGCAGCATCTCCAGGGTCGCTGCTGCTGATGTTGCTGCTGTTGCTGCTGTTGCTGCTGCTTCTGCTGCTGCTTGCTGGTACTGCAGCTGATGCTGATGCTAATGCTGCATCGTGCTGCACCCTGCTGCTGCTGCTGCTGCTCATACACCGCAGAGAAGGTCGCATGCTGTCTGTAGTTCCTTGGGTCAAGGCGCTGCTGCGGTTCGTGGTGCTCACAGGACGAGCAGCAGCAGCAGCAGCAGATGGTGTTGCTGCTGCTGCGTGTCTTGAGCTTCTGCTGCTGCTGCTAAAGGAGGAAGTCTTATTGAGAGCAGCAGCAGATCCTGCTGCTGCTGCTGTCCTAGGGAGAGGCCTCCTGCTGCCAGCAATCTTCCGTGAGACACACCGAGTCAGAGGAGGAGCAGCAGCAGCAGCACCAGCAGCAGCATTAGCAGGTGCAGCAGCAGCAGCAGCACTATTAGCACCGGGGACCCGGTTCCTACCAAGTGCTCCCCGTCGCTGCTGCTGCTGCTGCTGCTGGGACGCAGCAGCAGCAGTAGAATTCTTTTGGGAAGCTGTCGGTACACCCCAAGTGCTTGAGAGGGAACGCAGTTGCTGCTGCTGCTGCTGCTGCTGCTGCTGTCGCCGCAGAGACGGCTGCTGCCTACTTCGTAATTGATGCAGCGGTTCTTCCTCCTGCAGCATGTGCTGCTGCTTCTGCTGCTGCTGCTGCTGCGGTTGCTGCTGCTTAGGACTTCCTTGAGGCCCCACATCAGAAAGGTCATCCGATACTGCTGCGCTGCTGCTGCTGTTGCTGCTGCTGCTGCTGCTGCTGCTGTTTCCGCTGCTGCTGCTGCGGTTCTTCCTGCTTGCGTGAAACAACGACTTTCTTTCAGCAGCAGCATTTGTTCTTGCTGCTGCTGCAGAGTTTGCTGCAACACTGCTGCTGCTGCTGCTGCTGCTGTTGCTGCTGCTGCAGCATACAGCTGAGTTACTTCGCAGCGGCGATAGTCTCCCACCAGGCCCTATGGGCCTACCTGCAGCAACAGCAGCAGCAGCAACAGCAGCAGGAAATGAATAATTGCTGCAGCAGCAACAAATCGTAAACAGCCTAAACAACTCCTGCTGCTGCTGCTGCTGCTGCTGTTGCTGCTGCAGTGATGCGCGTACCTGTTTGTGACTTAGGCCTCATGCGTGCTGCTGATACATCGCTGGTGTATCCGCATTCTTGCTGCTGTTGCTGCTGTTGCTGCTGCTGTTCTTGTATCTGCAACAGCAGCTGCTGCTCTTGCTGCATAAGGCGAATAAATTGCTGCTGCTGCTGCAGCAGACTCCATCCCTCCGGGTTGCTGCTGCCTCTCCTCTCTTCCTCTACTAAACTCTTCTGCAGCGCCTCAGCACGAGCAGCAACAGACCTGAGACACAGCAGCAGCAGCAGCAACAGCAGCAGCAACAGCAGCACATGAGTGATGCTGGAAAGACAGGGAAATAAAAGCACAGAGACAAGGAGTCAGCAGCAGCAGCAGCAGCAGCAGCAACACCAACAGCAGCAGCAACAACAGCAGACACAGCAGCAATGGTATGGAAGACCACTGCAGCAGCAGCAACAGAAGCAGCAGCAACAGAAGCAGCAGCAACAGCAGCAGCAGCAACAGCAGCTAACTCGATGCGTTGCTGTAGATCTTGCATGTTTGCTTCAAGAGGTTGCAATGAGCTGCTGCTGCTGCTGCTGCTGCTGCTGTTGTTGTTGTTGTTGTTGCTGCTGTTGCTGCTGCTGTCTTCTCCGTAATAACTGTCAGAGACAACAGGAAAGCAATCGCTGCGGTGTCTCATGTGCTGCTGCTGCATTTGCTGCTGCTGCTGCTGCTGCTGCTGCAGGTAAGGTTGTTGCTGTGGGTAGAGGAAATGTCCGGGCATATGAGGAAATTGCTGCTGATAGAGCTGCTGCTGCTCTATTTGCTGCTGCTGCTGCTGCTGTTGTTGTTGTTGCTGCTGCTGATAATAATTGTGTGGAGTTTGCTGCAGCAGCAAATGCTGTTGGTGCTGCTGCTGCAGCAGTAACTGCTGCTGCGCAGGGGGATGGGACAGCAGCATCTTCTCCTGCCAGCCTAAGCCTCCAACACGGGGAGAGCGAGGCAGCAAAATGGTCCCTGAGGCGCTGCTGCACAGCTGCTGCTGCTGCTGCTGCTGTTGCTGCTGCTGCTGCCCCTCGTACAGCATGCGCTGATGGCAATCGGCAAACTGCTGCTGCTGCAGCGGCATAAACATTGGTGATCCCTGCTGCTGCTGCTGCTGCATTTGCTGCTGCTGTTGCAGTATTTGTTGCTGCTGCAATATTTGTTGCTGTCGCAGCATTTGCTGCTGCTGCAGCATTTGCTGCTGCTGCAGCAACTGCTGCTGCTGCTGCAGCTGCCTCGTAGTGAGGTGACACCGCATCTCTTGGAGTGCGGCTGCGGTAGAATTGTAGCTCGGTGCTGCTGCATCTGCTGCTGCTGCTGCATCTGGTGCACAAGCAGCAACTGCAGCAGCAGGAGCAGGAGCAGCAGCAGATGTGCTGCAGATTGATGGGAGAAGACACAGTCAAAGAAGGACAGACACTGGTCTGGTCTGTGCAGCTACCGGTCCTTCAAGGAGAGTTTGCTGCAGTACTTGCTGCTGCTGCTGCTGCTGTTGCTGCTGTTTTTGTTGCTGCTGCTTCTGTTTCTGCTTTAGAGAAGACAGGTAAGGTGTGCAGCGGTTGGGGCCCTCTCTGTCCTGCCCGCAGCTTCGGCTGCTGCTGCTGGCGCCGCCGCCGCCGCTGCTGCCGCTGCTGCTGCTGCTGCTGCTGCGACGGCGCTTTGCGCCTCTTCAGCAGCTCGTTGAGTTAAATTGAGTAAAAACAATTATAAAAGAGAAGAAAGAAGTAAAAGGAAAGAAATAAACAAGGAAATAGGCACAGCAGCAGCAGCAGCAGCTGCTGCTGCTGCTGCCTAAGGCCACAAGAAGAGGCGAGAGAGGCTGCTGCGCTGCAGGCAGCAGCAGCGTATTAAGAGGTAATAAGAGATAAATAGGTTAAAATAAAGAGCAAAAAGAAGCAAAAAAAGAATAAAACCATTTAAATAGAACAATTAAACTTATTTTTATCATAAAAGTAACTCTTAAACAGCCGCAGCAGCAGGCCGCCGCCGCTGCGGCCTCATCTTTACATTATATATACATATATATACACCTCCTGCGGTGTCTAGGCAGCTGCTGCTGCTGCTGCTGGTTGGTGGTGGGTAACCTTACGGTCTATTTTTCTCCTTTATATGATGAAATTAATTGTTTTTTACGTTTTTATTCATTTATTTTATCTATTTTAATCTAATTTGCTGCAGGTTGATATATTTTAACCCCTTTTTGCTGCTCTTCGTGCTGCTGTTGCAGCAGCAGCAGCAGCACAACAGGCGGGCCATCCCGCGCAGCTGCAACACGGCAGCAGCAGCAGCACGCTTTTTCTTTGTTTGTCTTTTTTATTTAATTTAATTTAATTTAATTTAATTAATTCATTGAAATATATTTTTGTTTTATTTATTTTTTATTTTATACACAAAAAAAAGCAATAATTAAATCCTTTTGCTGCTGCTGCTGCTGCTGACGATCTACTGATCTAAGCTGCGCATACACACTAACACACATACATACACACACAGGAAAGGAGCAGCTATTGCTACCGCAGTTGCTGCTGCAGTTGCTGCTGATGCTGCTGCTGCTTGTGTCGCAGCAGCAGCAGCAACAGCAGCAGCAAATAGAGAGATCCGCACGACCTCTCTACACACCTCTGCTGCTGAGCAGCAACAACAACAATCGGCAGCAACACCAGCAGCAGCAGCAGCAACAGCAGCAGCAGCAGCAACAGCAGCAGCACATATACAGTAGGAGGCAGCAGCAGAGACAGCAGAGACACTGCAGATAATGATGAGACACTAATAACACACACAAGAGACATAAATAAATAAATAAATAAATAAATAAATAAATAAATAAGATAAATAAATAAATAAATAAATAAGATAAATAAATAAATAAATAAATAAATAGAAGACAGGAGACAAATAAATAAATAAATAAACATAAATAAAATATAAAAATAAAAAAGAGACAAACAGAGGAGACAAAGAGACAAATAAAATAAACAAATAAATAAAATAAATAAATAAATAAATAAATAAATAAATATATAAAAATAATAGATAAATTAAATAAATAAATAAATAAATAAATAAACAAATAAATAAATATATATATAAATAAATAAATAAAATAAATAAAAAGGAGACAAAAAGAAAAGGGAAGAAAAGACAAAAAAAATCATCAGCAGCAAATAGATACGAAAATTCATCATATATAAACAGCTAGCTAGCTAGCTAGCTAATTAACTAACTAGCTAGCTAGCTAACTAACTAGCTAACTAACTAACTAGCTGGCTAGCTAGCTAAATAGGCAAGAATACAGACAGTTAGCTATCCAGCTAGCTAGCTGGCTAGCTAGCTATAATAATAAATAAATAGTAAGAGGTTATATATATATATA